CAAGGGCCTGATTCCTCCCAGAGGCCCTTTTGGCCTTTGTGAGGGAGCAAGGAAAAAGCTTGAAGTTTCCAGGGTATCTGCCTTCTGCTGGGGCTTCTGTGGTGGGCCTTCTGTGCCCAGCATCTGTACTTGCCTCCCCACCAGGGGGCCTGTTCTACCTGTGCAGGCCCCGGGAGGGCAGGGGGGCCGCCTACACATTCCCCAGCCCACCCTTGTCCCAGCCAATTCCCCACATTAGGGGTTTCTCAGACGCTGGCTCTCCCACCCTCCTCCACCCTCAGCTAGAGGTAGGATATCCCTGAATCCCGGGCTCCCAGCCCTAAAACTCACTGCCTCCCCCAAGGGCCCCCTCTAAGGAGGATGTGGGGGAGCCCTGAGGGCTGCCTCTCTGCCAGTCAGCCACAGAGACCCTCCTCCTTTCACGAGGAAAAGACCTCCCCCTGAACCCATAAAAATGTTTACAGTCTCTGCTGGTCCCCTCCGTGTAAATACCACTACCACCCGTGCGTTATCCAGCCCGCCCGGCCTGGCCCGGACGCTGCCATCTCTTTCTGGGAGTTTAGACAATGTTGCCCTTGAATTTTTTCTCTCTTGATTTCTCCCTTTGCTTTGGGGGTAATTGGGTATTTGGGAGGAGGGATGTAGGGAGGGCCAAAGGGGTTTATTACCTGATCATTTTCTTTAGGAAGAGGTTTTAGGGATAATAAAAGGGTGGGGGTGGGAGTGGTAAGGGGAGACTGGGGAGTCAGTTTCAGACAGTTCTCTATGCTTAACTTATTTATTTATTGCATTTTACTTTTAAAGAGTTGGTCTTTTCTGTCTAAATAAAGAAAAAAGTTTAAAAGCATAAAATAAGAGTCTTGGAAGGTTGAGGGTAGGGGACTGTACTCATTGGGAATGGGTAGGGAGGGAGGAAAGAGAATGAGGTTTGGGAGAGAAAACGATATCAGGGAAGACCCAGCTATGACTTTTGAGCAGTGTCCAGGCCTTGCTCATGGCTTTATGATCCTATTCTACTGCCCTTCTTTGGGGTTTAATTCTGGAATGTTCTGCAGAGCTGGGCACAGGGGGAAGAGAGCAGGTGAGCAGGGGCACCTAGGCTAGGAAGATACTGAGAGGTAGTTGTAACACCACCATTTATTAACCACTGCTCTAGGCCCCTAATGTGCATTTCTTCATTTAACCTCTCAACAACCCTGTGAGGCAGGATATGATTTTACAGACAGGGATAAGAAGGCTTTGAAGGTTAACTTAGAGTCGCAAAGCCAATAAGGGACAGCCGTAGGAGATGAACCCAGTTTGTCAGAATCCAAAGCCCATGATGCTCTCTTCTTACCTGTGCTTTGACTGAGAAATGTGGAGCGGGCTGTAGCAGTGAGCCCCATCAGGTAGAAGATGGACTGCAGAAGCCCTAAGGTCCCTCCAATTCCTAAATTCCTCTCTGTGAACTGCTTTAGGGGCAGGCTCAGAGGATAGCACAGGTGGTCTTTGACTTGATAGCACACTGACCGTTAGCTTCAGGTAGCTACCAGCTACCCCACCCTCATTATGTTCCTTCTTTTATAGACTTGCTTACTCTCCAGCTCTGATCTGGCCTCAGGTCTGAGTTGTTCTGTGAAAGCACAAGGATGAGTAAATCCCCACAACTCACCCCCCACTTCCACACCTTCTCTTAAATTGCCTCAAATTAAGAATAGTTTAAAAGAAGCAAAATGTGATACACTATGGCGATGTACCTGTGGACACTGTTTTGGGGGTAAAAGTCTCTTGGATTGATATAGATGAGGAAATGGGACCTTAGGAGGAGGAGAATTCAGTCAGGATTCTTAGCCAAGTAGAAAGCATCTGGAATTTCAATTAAATACAGATGTAGGGGTGTGTATGGGGTCAGAGATGGAAAGAAGTGTGTAAGAAGGGGGACAACAGGAGTTGGTATTATGGAAGGCGCATTTTAAACCAAAGGGCATCTCCCACAGTGATTCACTGACTTGTAGGTTCTCCACTGGGATGCTGGGAGTAGGACGTAACAGGACTGGGAATTCTCCTCCATCCTGGCATCTTCCAAGGCAGCGCCTCAGTGTGGCAGCCCCTCATGCAAACATCAATGACTACCTTTATTTGTTTCTTCTAAAATATTCAAGTTATATTCAAATGTCAATGGCAACATAAAGAGAAGGAAATAACTTCTGGAACAGAAGAGGGGAGCTGACAGGTCAATAGCAGGGACTAGGGGAAGCCTTTCAGTTGTAGGAATGAAAACATTCAGAGAAATATTCTCAGTTAAGGAGGCTAAGGTGATGAGAATATAGCAGGGGAAAAAAGAGCCCAGAGTCATTCTTTCAATGTGTTCCCATCCCCTTTCTATATTTTTAGAGCTTTGAAATGTATAAACATAATACAAGGTGTCTCCATTCCCTTTGGGGTTGGATCCTGCTATAGCTTGAGAGCCATGGCCTCTCCAACTCTCAGGGCTCCCTTTGTCTTTTAATTCTCCTGCTATAATTTCAAAGCCTTTAAAATATAAAGCCACGCCAGATCAGCCTTGGCTTCTAGTATTTGTGACTGAAGGAATTCCCACTCATCGCTAAGCCTCAGTCTCTTCTCCAAATCCAAGAACTTGAATAGCCCTAACCTAAAACTACTGGTTCTTGTAAGATCCTTGTTCTGTGGCTCCTCTTTTAATCTATTTCACCGAGTAGTCAGCTTCCTCTTGCTCCCCATAAATAGTTTCCCTACATTACATCCTCTCATCTACTCAATGAAAACGAATCACAGCTGTGTTTATAACCTAATTTTTCTCCTATTCATTTCAGCATTACCTTTTCTCCCTTAGTCTTCCTCATTAGTAAATATCACCACCATCTACCCACTTGAGCCAAAACTTTGATTACACCCCTTTTCTCATGTCTAATTTCCAGTCCAACTGCAAAGCCCTACTGGGTCTACATCTGAAACACATGGCTCATGTCTCTCCATCTCCACTGTCCTCAGCACATCACCCCCCAGAGGCCTGCTGTAGCCTCATCTGCCTCCAAGTTTCTCTTCCTGTTCTCCCGAGAAGCCAGAGTTATCTTTTAAAAGTTAATTCACAGATGCTGAGTACCTACTCTGCCTTGCTCACCACTGTATGCCCACTAAACAGTGCCCAGAAAATTAGAAGCTCCTTAGGTAAATGACTGCTGGACATCCATACTGAATTTCCCACCTGTGCCTAAATCATAATAGGTCCAAAGCTAAAACATTTTCTTCCCCAAAGTTTCAACTCTTAAATACTTCTATTTTCCAGTTACCACAGGCATGAAACCTTGGGAGTCTTTTACTCCTTTCACATAAATTCAATGTTATTAAACCATAAAATATTTTACTTCTACAATTTTTTTCTCATATCCATTTTCCCTCCTTTCAATTATCACTGCCGGTACTTATTAACTGAATAATCATAGCAGTCTCCTCATTGATCTTTCTGTCTATATTCTGAAACATCAATCTTCCTAAACTGCAGCTAAGAAACAAAACTTCTCTGCTGCTGCCTTTTTTAAAAAACGTAGAGCACCTCAGCCCGGCATTCAAGGCTTTTCAAAGCCTTACTTTCCACTTCATTCCTACACATACCCTAGGTTCTGTTTGAACAGGGACTACTCATCGTTCTCTGGACAAGTTTGATCCTTTGCCAGCCCCCCACGCCATGTCTTTTCATTCCCAATGGCTAGTGTCTGGCACATAATGGCTCAATAAATGTGTGCTGAATGCCTTTTTGTTGAAATCCTGCTCGTGCTAAACAGTTCACCTTAAACACCACTTTCTTCATGAAGATTTTCTTTATCGCCCTCATCCACAGGTCTTCTTCCCTCCTTTTCTAGTTCTTATAGCACTTAAATCTTCCACTGCAATGCACCATGGTCATTTGCAAATGTCTCAATCCTCTGTGAGGCGGAAGTTGGCAGAATGTTTCTTTCTCTGCTTTTGTATCTGTTGCAGTATCTCAACACAATGCTCTGCACACAGTAGATATTTTTCAAATGTTTGTTGATTTTAACCTTTGTAATTCTAATTCTAGAATTCTACTTTCTACTTCTCTATGGATTCTCTCTTTGTTAAAGAAAAAAAAAATCCCCATTAGCATAGTAATATTTATCAGATTCCAAATATTCAATGCTGATGGCTGGGTGAATGAGACCTTGAACAACGTCTGTCCACAAACTGCCAAACAAGATGTCAAACTTGTCCTTGCTTTTATAATCATCAGTTAAGGAATGTGGTCAGGGGTTATAAAAATAATAAGGTTTATAAAAATAATAATGTCTGACCCACTACAAATGCTGAGCTTTTCAGAGCAGACTCAGCCCATAAAATAGTGCACAGAGAGAAGCAAGTACTATTAAGAGCAGGTAATTAGGCCCCAACACCTGAGATTCCCCTGTCAAAGCAAAGGGCATGCAGGACCACCCTTATTCTCAGGGATGTGGGCAGAAGAGGGAATACAACCACCCAGAGCACCTGGTATTGTGCTGGGCATTCATTAGGGGTAATATGTTCCTCTCAGTTCAGACCCTATAGAGAAAAAGTTTCCTGAGTTACTTAAAAAATGAAGTACATACATGTCGTTGGGGAGGTATGGGGGTTGCGGGTAGCAGGGATCTGCCCCAAGAGCTCTACCAGGCTCTATCTGCATAAGGCTCAAAGAGGAGTCCTATGAATCTTAACAGGATTTTGTGCAGGCTGGCAAACTAGAAGGGTAAACTCAATCAGATCTGAAGGAGAAGAAGAAATTTTCAAAGGAGACTCTGGAAACAGAACTGCAGACCAGAGGACTCCTTGGCTCCTCCTTTTCCCACCCTTCTCCATCCCCTGCCCTCAAATGACTGCCCCACTAGTTACTTGGGAAAACTCATTAGATGTTACTTCTCATTTTCAGACTGAACATTCTAACTCAAATCCCAAAAGTCTCTCTTCATTTCTTCCCACACAACCCAAAGGATTTGTAGTCTAGGAAACCAAAGAACTGTCTCATCAATAAATCAATTTATTTAAAAGAATATGTTACAATTAATTACACTAAGTGACATTACCAAACAATTTTAGAGTGGTTAGCTCTAGAACAAGGAATGAAAGAAACACTGTTAGCCATTATGTGTCTGTATTTTCTTTTCACATTTCTTAAATCACAAATAAAAAATACAAGATACTGCAGTGAAAATACAATTAGAGTTTCTCTCAATAAATTAAAAGTATGCATGACCTGGGAAAAACTGAAGCCCAGCTCACTGGCTTAAAGGGGGGGCGGGGGCGTGGTATAATATAAAATTGGTGTCCAAGTTTAGCAGTTGACCAAGTGCCCCCGCCCACATCACTCCCCTCCTTCAATTCTGTTCCTTCCCAGGGCCCTAAACTACCCACACATCCTAGATTATTGCTGAGGAGTGAGCTGATGCTGTCCTGGTATGAATGAGGCCTGCCATGATGTGCTCAGGTTTAGGGGAAGAGAAAAACAGGAGGTGGAACTGGAAGCTGGAGAGCTAAAAAGTACCCACTATCTCTATTCTCCCTTCCGCCCTCCCTCTCTGAGTATTCAACCACATCATCTTCCCTCCAAAAGGAAGCTAATGTGACACAATAAAGCTGGTGAAGGAACAGCAGTATGTTGGTGTTCCACAGACCAAATAGTTTCTACTGCTGAATAAATCCAGCCAGAGCCAGACAGCATGACGGAGAGAAGGGAGGGCACAGTAGTCCCTCCAGGTCTGGAGACTACAGGTCAACTAGGTTGTAGTCCCCTTAAAAAAACTACCTCCTAGGAGTCAAGCCCATAAATTGGCAAATTCTGAAATATGAGAGAGGTGTCACCTCCTGCCAGTGCCCTATTTTGCAGCTCCAAGCTGGGTCTGGAGCTACAAGAGGGGATAACCCAAAGCTACTGGCCTGGTTAAATGAAGGATGAAACTAAATGGGCCAGGAATGAGAATGTTGGAATATTATCTAATTCCTCCCTGAGAGCTCTGTCCAGGACTAGGAGCTGCGCTGAGCACAGATATATTTGTACCTGTGCTGAGCTGAGACCTAGGGCAAGGGGAGGGCAGAAAAATGAAGAATAAAAAATATAAAGAACAGAGAGCCCACAGCATGGCCCAAGGGAACCCTTCTGCAGGGGCAGGTTTCTTAGGGCCTACATTTTCTCCTGATCATAAAAAGCTCTGACCTTTTGCCCCAGAGGACAGAAACCAAGTGTGGAGGGGAGAACAATGGGAGACCAGAAAGATCCTGCTAGCTCTGCTGGGGCAAAGCTGGGGGGAGGATGAGCCCCACTTTCCAAGACAAATTGCAAAAGAAAACTGGGTAGAAGCCTCCCTGGGCAGAAGCCAGGACTAAGAAAAATAGTAGGGGTTAGACAAAGAAGTGCAGAGGAAGGGGCGGGTGGGGGGAGAAAAGTCACACCTAACACTGCTTCATGCAAAGAAGGCCTTGACCCTATAGACCTCCACAGCCACAGTGACCTCTACCTCCATTACTGGAGGCCTGCTGTGGGTGGAAGAAGAGACCCTGTCCTTTAGGGTCTCCTTCCCCCTTCCTTGCTGTAGCTGGGTGTTGTTGGTGGGACAGCCTTAAGTAGGGGCTTTTCCTAAATAGATTCTGACAACAAGCCAACTACCAATGGGGTTCCCACCCAATCTCCAAAGCACCATGTGAGCGCTATGCCAGAAAAGGAACATACCACCATCTACCCACTCCGAGGGGCCTCCAAATTCCTATGTCTCATATCCTGAGGTCAGCAATTAGGCTGTCACATGGACTCTCAGATTTGTTCATTCCTTTCCCACTATCAGGGAATAGGGGCAATTGTTATTTTTACAGTTTGAACAAAACTGGTGTCAAAAGCCTCTTCAGCATCTTGGAGTGGGAAATCGTATCTTCTTTTCAGGGTCCATTGGCTCATAATTAAATTCATTTCGGCCAAAAGTTGACCCTGTGTCAAAGCCTTCAAATCAGGGATCACTCTATGCACTCTGACATTTTGCACTCTGTGATTCCACCTGGGTCTGGGAAACAGAGGGAGGATAGGATGTCCTATATGATCCCACATCACCCTGGAGCAAGCCACTGCTGGGATAACAGAGTGAGAGAGAAAGAAAAGTGGCCTCATGATGATCCACAAAAACAAGTTACAAAAAAGAAATCAAACCACCCCAAAACTGCTCAGTGGAGCTGACTACAACCAACTATGACTGCCTCCCAGTTAGACAAAGCAAAAGCTGCCCCTCTATGGAGGTTTTTGTTTAGAAGATGAAGAAGGGAAAAAGAAAAAAAGAAAAGGCTCAAGGATGTGTTTCAGTTGCATCTGAGCCTGATTTAGTGCTTTTTATGCAACATCTATAGAACTCACAGGCTGAGAATATTGTCCTACCCCAGTCAGCCCTGGCCTCTGATCCTGGGATATAGCTCTTAGGTGTCAAATGAGGAGCTCTTTGAGGAACAAAAGGGTTTTCCTTCTGTCTCCTTTTAATTAAAAATGGAGATCCAACTTAAATCAACCATATTCCTACTACTCCCTCCTGGGTCCTTGGTCGGCTTAGATGAGGCTATGGTTTGGTTGGTACAGACCATTGACCCATTCCAAGTTTCCCCAAAGCCTTGAAGATATTGTCAGATCCCTCCCCAACACTGCTATTTATGGAAGTCACAGAGAACGTAATAGTTATAGGTGGTTACTGGTCAGGAATGGAATAGGTAAAACCTTATGTACAGAGGGCATTGCTTCCTTCCTTTACCTTACATAACTCCAACATTTGTGCCTAAGGTATCAGTTTTAACACTGGTCCCTAACACTATACCTGCTGCAGAAAAAGCAGGGAAATGGGAAGTTACCACCAGGAAGTGTTTCGGGTTCCTGTGGAATTAACCTCCTGAACCCACCCTCAACTCCACTCTGGCCAGTTGAGAGAAAGTAAAGGGCCCTAGAGAAGCAGGAAGGAGATGTGGAATGTGGCTAGAAAGACATGAGTGGAAGATAGAGATGGACCAGGAAAACTGTCTTGGAATCAAGAGACCACACCAAGTCTTTAGACTCTCCCTGCAGATCTGCAGACTTGCTGCCCTTGAGAAACACACTTTTTTCTCTTCCCCAGCACCCTCTTGGAAGATAAAAAAACTACACTCCTTGCTCCTCAGACTCTGTGGCAACCCATGAGCCAGAATATGCACTTAATACAAAAAAGGGAGAAAAAAACCCAAGCAGGTTGTAAACTTTTTGGGTCCTTCACGAGGAGAGGTATTTTCCCTGTAAAATGTTTTGTTTTGTTCTGTTTTTTTTTTCTTTTTAAAGTTTGTTTCAAAATAAAGAGAGCAAGAGAGAAGTCATGAATTGTAGTGAAAGGTGTGTAAAAACACAAGCTAAAAAAGGTACTGCCATCAATATGAAATTTAAAAAGAAATATATATATGTATATACGTGCAGCTAATTTGTGTATATATAACTTTTTACATACATACATATATATGTCTGAACAGTGCAAATGGATGAAGTTCATAGTTCCAGTTTTAAAAATATAGTACAAGGAGAGTCTGTTGGTATGAGGCCCAGGTGAAAGATACCTTTGGCAAGTTAGTTGGGCTTGTTTCTTTTCCTGTCTTAACTCAGTTGACTTCCGTTGCTGACCAATCTGTTGTTCTTTACCAGCTCAATTCCAGAGACATGAAATTCAGAAGGGATTATTAATAATATTTAGTTTAGAGCTTTTGAATATAATGACTTTTTCCTTTTTCTCTTCTTTTGTGTTAATGGTTACTCTCTCTGACATGGGAGACAAAAGGGATAAGAGAATGAGGGCGAAGGGAAGGGGATAAGGAAAGGCTAGGTGGCCACATCCCTCTGCTGTGACCTCACCATCTGGAAAATGTTCTGAAAGAAAAAAAAAAAGTTATTGGGAAGTCACATCTCCTCCCACCTGGAGACAACTTCTCAAACAGAAACTAAAAAGGTATGACTGGTTGATTCAATCTGATTTGCCTCTTTCCCTGATATAACTTCCCAACTAGAATTACAGCCTTCTGGGGCCGGCCCGGTGGCGCACTGGATAGTGCGCCGCTTGGGAAGCGCGGCAGCGCTCCCGCCCGAGGGTTCGGATCACACGCACCCAAAAAAAGCTAGTAGGGAAACTTGCCAGAATTTGAACCCAGATCTGCCAAAACTCCAAAGTCAGACCATAATTGTGTCTCCCAGTGTGTAAATATCTATCAAATACTTTGTGCACATGTGTGAACATGCCAAACTTTGAATGATTTAAGTATAACCTGTATTTTAATACTTAGGACAGCATCATAAAATTAATTTCTAAATGAATATTGAAATTTATCCAGTTTCTATGTTTAGCAATTGGTGTTAATTTACCTCTCATAAGTGCTAGAAAGGTTCTACAATACCTCCTCCAGCCCTTTTATACTATTCAAGCTTTTTATTAGCCCTAATGTTGATTGCCTTCCCAGGGCATCTACTAGTTTGAGTATAATTTGTCTAATTAAATTTAAAGAAGAGATGTTTCAGGGAGCACCATTTCAAGAATTACAGCCTTCTACTGCTGGAAGGGACCTTGGATATTACTTTTCTGGTTCAGTCTTCCTATTCTACAAGAAGAGAAAACTGCGATCTAGAGAGGATGATTTATGCAAAATTATAGAGAGAAAAAAATCAAGGAGATAATCCAGGTATGATTTCCAGAACCCAATGTCCTTTCTATTGTACTAAAAATATAAATTTTCATGTTCTTGACTTTGCTTCCTGGTTCCTCCGAAAGATTTTTTGAGAATAAGTAGCTAATTATTCAGAATCTTTCAAATTCTGCTCCAGCAATGGCATCTATAGAAGTAAAACAGTAGCACATACACATACTTGGTTACCCTAGAAAGACTCTCATGACTTATCCAGTCAGATGTCTAAAACTGAGGGCAGCTGCCCTTCTGGGTCAGGAAAAACATAGAGGGTGATTTGATTTAAAAAACAGGCAGAGGAGGGTCCATGAAATCATGAGAGATGGAAAAGCCTGTAGCCAATGTCCACTCTCTAGACAAGGGAAGAAGCACGACTTTTTTGCATAGCCTATTCACTATCCAGAGGCCAAGCTCGCTGGAAAAATGTCCTGGCTCACAAGGGATAACCAGTCTCTAACTAATAGTCCTAGAAAGACAGAGATGAAGGTGGGGGTCCAGGTATTTGGCCATAGGCCTAGAAATTTTAAAACAAAAAGATGAAAAAGTCAATTCAAGAATTATTTAGAATTACCTCTTTTCTCCACTTGAGCTCGCAGAACACCCTCTCAAAGCATTCATGCATGTAATTGAACTGGGAAAAAAAAAAAAAAAGTAGCAATGCTCATTGACTTCTCAAGACCAAGGACCACAGGGCCATGCCTTCTAACTCCAGTTATCCCATCTTCCTAACCTGCTCAATCTATGACAACTACCACAAAAACTTTGCCTCATCTACTACTCTCTAGCTCCTTCTAGTGGTAACTATGAGTCAAGTAGGATGTGAAACTGCCAATCTTAGTGGGGCCTAAAGGAGAGGGGATGAACCTGGAGCTCCAGGGTTCAAACAGATTCAGATCTCAAGATAAGTATATCTCTCTACATTTATTCCTTTAGTTTAAAGAAAACTATAAGCCCAATCTATTTTCCCTAAGTATGCTTCCCCATCTCCCACTCACATATGGTGTGAAGATTTTAACCCATCGGGGCTTCTTCTCTCCTCGTGCGTATTCAAAACAGAAAGCCATTCCTTCTTCATCTGTATCCCATCGCTGCATCTCATCCCATTCAAATGCTATTACCTGGTTCTGGACAACCAAGAACAAGATAGTAAGTATAGATTGAGTTTGAGAGTGCTGAGGAGCTGAGATAAGGGGATTGTGAACCAGGCAGAAGAAGAGAAAGGAATGGAGATGTCTGCATCGATGCATCTTTTGACTGTGACAAAAGAATAAAAGTCAGTGAAAGTAGCCAGTGAAGTTGAGAAACAGTGTAGTATTTATTTACCCCAGTCAAAACATAGTTTTTGTTTTTCTGTTTTTTTTTTTTTTAAAAGATGACCGGTAAGGGGATCTTAACCCTTGACTTGGTGTTGTCAGTACCATGCTCACCCAATGAGCTAACCGGCCATCCCTATACGGGATCTGAACCCGGGGCCTTGGTGTTATCAGCACCGCACTCTCCCGAGTGAGCCACAGGCCGGCCCCAAAACATAGTTTTGATTTCATTTTTCCCCCCAAACGAACTAAAACATAGCAAGTGAGTGAGTTATCAAAGTATCCCTAGCCCCAGCCCCACGCTGAACTCTCACCTCCAGCTGCCCTTCTTCAGTGCAGGCATGCAGTTTAAAGTGCATGATGCTGATGGCTGTGATAACATGCCCCTTCCTCCTGGAGTCACAGGCACAGTGGGGGAAGATGATTTCATTGTAGCCCTCACAAGTCCTTAGCATGTTGAGGTACTAGAAAAAAAGGGAGGGGAAAGTGTTACTATGGAAGTAAATCACAATGAAGAGCTGCTGAGATGGCACATGAGAAGGAACAAAGAGAATATTCTCACCCAACATCCTGAAGTCCTGGCCTCTGGTCTCACACCCACCCCTAAATTGGGACAGGACTCTAAGACAATCTTTTATCCCACTTCCAACTTCTGCCTTCACACATCCAACCCTCCTTTCTCTATTTAAAAAAGATACACAAATGAAAGCCAGAAGAGACACTGTAACCAAGACTAGCAGAGCAAGAAGGGAACTCACAATGCTGTTTAGTCTGGTCCTCTATTTTATTGTGCCTAAGGGATGAGAACCTAATCTATTCTTATTTAAGAAAGGGAGTTAATGTTTCTCCCCCATCTTTTCTCCAATCAAAAGTTACAACAATCATCTCAGTGAGGAGGATTAAGCTACCCCAAATCCCATATTCATAAATGTTAAAACTGAAAGAAACTTTAAAAACTAGTAATTTTACAGAAACCCAGAGTAAGATGAGACTAGCTTAAGGACACAGGTAATAATAAGTGGTACACCAGGACAAAAAACCCAGGTTTAATTTCAAGGCTCCTTTCACTTTTACCAACTAATCCCCAAATCAGCCCCACTGTCCTCTGGGTCTTCAGCATATATACTTCCTTAAAAAGTATCTGGACCAAAACCAAGTAGCGTATATGACTCTCATGGGTACAATGCTACAAGAGTAATTCCGAGATGTCTCTGAACTACTGAAGTTAACTCAGCTTTTGTCCTTTTTCCTGTACAGTTAAGGCCAGCCTCTCATTCAACTCACTAATTTGAGTTGAGAGAAGAGAGAGTAAAAGGAGATGAGCAGCAGGACAGTAGAAGAAAAATAGAGAAAAGAAGATTTTTAAAAAGAAAGAAGAAGATTCATGAACTCTGACCTGGTTTCCTCTCAGGGATTGCCTGGGAAACAAGCAAATCACCTAGAGCCACCATACCCCCAGTTGCATGTCAAACAGGAAGAACAGGGCATACTGGTGATGTGTGCAAAGTGCTGAAGAGAAGAAGACAAAGGCACAGCACCTCAGCTGATTTCAACTAGATGGGCATGGAGATTAGAATACACTGGAGAGATGCCTTCTGCCTTATCAGGAGAACAGAAGAAAGGACACAGGCACAAAAAGGACACAAGGCAACCTATAACTCTGGTACCAATGAAAGGCACTTGAGAACACTGCTACTGCCACCAGGGACTGTCTGAGAAGACTTAGGGCCCAGGGAAAAATCATATCACATGCTCCCTTCTCTACTTCGTATTTCTGCTTAGGTAAAATAACAGCAACTTTAAAGATGAAAAATTATAAAACAGTAGCAGGAATACAGGGACAGGGTCTATTCAGAAGTGTCACAATACTTCACTCACATTTTTCTTCTCTCATTTCTCCCTTCTTCTATCACTCTTGTCCACTCCCCTTTTTTATTGTCTTTCCTACATCAGAGATAAAAGTAGATACTGCTAATCCTGCTATTGACACTATGAACAAAAAGTTGCTATACTGACTGCTATACTTTGGTAAATATGACAAGGTGCTGGGTAGTATAGAACAGGAGAGAACTCGTCAGGGTTTATAATAAGCAGCAAAGCTTGGGACAGAGAGCAGTACACAGAGGAGTGGTTAAGAGGTCGGGCCCAGACTACTAGTCTTGAATCCTGACCCCATTACTTCCCAACTGTGCAAACTTGGGCAAGTTACTTAAACTCAGGCAAATTACTTAAATCCCAGGAGCCTTAGTTTCCTCCTCTGTAAAATGGAAAACAATAATAACATCTACACCATAGTGTTATTTTTGAGCATTAAATATAAAGTAGCATAGTACTCAGTACATAATTAGGCATTTAATAAATGATAGCTAAAAGAAATAATTTTAAAACCTCCATTATCCTTAGCCAGAGGGCTTAACTATTTTCTTCTCAAGAAAGCCATGTGAAATGATGTATCTGTAAATCATTTTTTAAAACTCCAGGGGAAAAAAAGCATGTGAGTGAGACAGATGAAACATGAATAGCAGAAAGTCGGAGGCTGTTGAAGCTGAGTAATGGGTACACGGGGGCTAACTGTAGTATTTATTCTTTGAACTTCTTTTTGTATTTGAAAATTTCTACAATAAAATGCTGAAAGAAAAATAACAACCAGGCCTCCAGCACTCAATCCAAGTCATCCTCCTTATGTACTCATCAGAAACTTTCACATGCTCAGTAAGCAGGAAATCTGCTCAAACATGCTGAAGACCTCTGCAAATGTCAGTGGGTATCATGAAGCTTTGAGACTAGGTCTGCTCATGTCCTTCAACAAAGAAGGCATACATGTAACACATTTGTTGAGAGTTCTCTTCATTGAGGGGCAACAATACTGTTTTGACAAATATTTCTGTCACATTCCTCATTGAGAGTTTTATTGTATAGATTTTTTAAAGAGAGAAGCATGCAGATAAAGGCAAGGATTAGGAAAAAAGACATGGAGCTCTGCATATCTTGAGCACTCTGCATATCTTTGTGACCTTCAGTAAGTTACTCTACCCAGGTGCTTCCTCTCTGCCATCCGGAAATAAAGGACATTGCTGTCACCCTCTCTACCCTGATGTAGGGAAAAACACATGCATTGGAGTCTGACAGAAATGGATTCAAATCCGATGATACGCAATCAATATGGTGGAATAGAAGGACCGCAGTACCACTCTCTCCCACAAATCAACCAAATTTACAACTTTAAAAATATAACATCAGCCAAGCTGGGGCCGCTGGAGCTCAGGGTAAGAGGAGGAGAGACCTACGGAGTTCATGAAGGCGGGAGAAACCATGATGAGAGAAAGAAAAAGCTGCTCTGAGCATTTCAGGCCGCTGTTGCTTTAAAAGCCTTCCCTGGAGAAACAGCAGCAAAGTAGCAATTTAAACAACCACACAGCTCAAGTACTAGTTCCCACAGGAAGTTCCCCCGTGTTAGAAGCACAAAGGACAAAAAATTAGTTCCGGCCCAGGCACACCACCAGCACCTTGGGGCCTGCCTGGGAACTGGAGGCTTGGATCTGGGGACTGGACACCACTCGCACTTCCAGGCAAACTGCACCAGTGCCTCGGGGCCAGCCTGGGGACCTGAAACATGGAGAAGAGGACTGGACCCCCCTCCCACAACCAGGCACACCACGCCAGCACCTTGGGGCCTGCCCAGGGACCCTTGGCAAGGAGAAGGGGACTGGACCTCTCTCCCACAACCAGGGACACCATGCCAGCACCTTGGGGCCCACCTGGCCCAGAGGCATGTGGAAGGGGGCTGGACCCTCCTCCCACACCAGGCACAAAATGCCAGCACCTCGGGGTCCACCTGGGTAACCGAGGCATGGAGAAGGGGACTGGACCCTCCTCCCACAACCAGGCACACTGCGCCAGTACCTCGGGGCCCGCCCAGGGATCCAGAACATGGAGAAGAGGACTGAACCCCTCTCCCACAACCAGGCACATGGCGCCGGTACCTTGAGGCCTGCCCAAGGACCAGAAGCATGGAGAAGGCCAGTGCCAAGAAGCATGCTAAAAACAGCACCTCCACGTGGGTGGCCCACCACAGCCACCACAATAACCATGGCTGCTGCAAAAGCGGCTAGACGCCACAGCCACCACGCAGATGGTCCTCCAACCACTGGAGTGCATTCACACAAGAAGGGTCACCAGCAGAGACAAAGAAAAGAAGAGGATGTCTCTTTCCACAAAAGCCATTTCAGAGTGACAGAAGAAGCATCTGCTCTATGATAATATTGGGGGACCTGATCACATCTCTCAGCATTGGACAGATCATCTAGGCAACAACAGAGTAACCATTACTCTTTCAGAAGGAGAGAAGAAATCTAGGGCAATTAGAGTGGGGGAGGGAGAGAGGGGAGGGGGAGGGAATGGGGGAAGGGGAGAGGTTGGACAAGGGGCATAAAGAATAATTACGATTTGTAACAATATATATGCTAGTAATATTGATTTAATCAACATATCTCAATGTTCAACCCCCAAAATATGTATAATCAATTTTGATTCAATAAATAAAAAAATAAATGGATTCAAATCCCATTTTTAAATCTAGTTCCACTTCTTACCAACTGTGTGATCTTGGGTAAGAATCTTAATCTCTCAGACTCCACTTCTCCTCTATGAAGTGGGGATAATATCTGCAGGGTTGTTAATAACTAGGAAATGAGAATTTACATAAAGTGCCTAGAACAGTATCAGGTATTAATAGTACACCACTCCTCCCTTCTGAATCAAAAGGCGGATTTATCACTCCATATTCAAGAATGTAGTCTCTGAAATCCAAAGACCTTCAGGGAATTTCTTAATGGCATAAGTTCTAAAAATAACCTCAGTGAAAACTAAGGGCTCTTTGCCCTTGGTGAGAAGAAGAGGTAAAGTCTCATTGGGAGACAAAGTTTTCAGAGATTCTTGGGTTGTAGTATTTCTCAGCTTCAACTGGGCAATCCTTACTTTCCTGGGTTTTCACAAAGCCTAAACAGAAGAAATATTAAAAATTTTACATAAATCCAAAATTTGCAAAAGAAAGGTGCATTTTTGCTTTTGATCATATTTATTTTACATAAGGGTAGGTAAATATTTAAAACAAAATTATCCTGTCCATTCTCCTTTCATATCAAGTTTTGAGTAGCTAAGTATGTATCCTAAATTACCTTCCTTGATTCACATACCACCTAGATGGTAGCCTATTTAGGCCAAAAAGAAGGTATAGTATGGGAAATTTTATAAATGTTCAATAGTCAGCAAGACAGGTAAATACTGAAATAAGACAGTTATTAAAGTAGAGACTCAGTATTTAACAGAGCAGAACACTTTAGGTGAAAAGGTCAAAGTCCACTTTGAAGAACTTTCTGTTCTCCCAAACAATCTGCCAAGGGTCAAGCCAGGTCTAAAATTAAAATAAGGGCTTGAGAGGAACCTGGAGAGTCAAATCTCCAAA